GTTTCTAAAGGAAGTTTATTTAATATGACGAGGAGGTGGGCATCTTTAGAGATTACATTTATTATTGGCCGTTCRGGAATTGAGAAAGGGATTGGGGCCGAGTGAAAATATTAATCCAAGTAAGAAATAATCCCCATCACAAAAAAGCTCATATTATTGACATCACTGAGTACTATTATCGAGTTTTAGCATGTTTGGATGAATTCTATACTGAATAGCAAGCCAAAAATAAGAGAAAACGTATGGGCTTTGAGACGTAACAGCGTCCCCAAAAAGCATACATTGTCTCTCATTTTTACGATTTGTTTAAAGCCTGCTAATAAGTCAGTATTTGCCCAAACATTCTCAAACTCGATAAACGTAAAAACCTTAGAGTGATCTTTCATGTGATGGGGTTTATTTTTTAATTATCAAACTCATGAATAATTCATGAGGAAAACACAACAGAAATCACGACCATGAAGAGTGTTGTAAAACTGATACAAAACTGTGTTCATTTGCATAAACTTTAAGTTGGATTTTCTTGGCCAAATTCACTTTAATTTTGAAAATTTTAGCGAAACACAAATAAACTAACCTAGACGTTTGATAAGTCATATACAGTATTCATGTCCGTGTTGTATCAGATATACAATCACTCGGCTACGCCTCGTGGTTGTATATCTGATACAACACGGACATGAATACTGTATATATTACTTAGATTAATATTTCTACACTCGGCCCCAATTTCTACCTCAGTTTTGGAAAGGCTGATTGGAGCATTAACGTAACGTACTGTATGTTGGCACCTAGCCTTAGAAACTGGTCCCAAAGTGTTCTTCATTAAACCCTTATTATTTTGTCAACTTTCGATCGAAGAGGTTATTGCCAGGAAGTGATAAGATTTAAGTGATAAGATTTTTGTTCAAAACACTTAAGCTCTTTTTTCTGATAAGATTTCAAAAGAACGCTTATCCATTATTAATGCAGTGTAGAAAGGAATTATTATACTAAGCGTGCCTTATTTACTTCTGTTCGTGAATGTTGGCCATATGTTTTTCGACTCCCTTGTGCTTAAAAAAAAAAGCGTTTTCGAGTTAAGTAAATTGAAGCAAAGTAATTATAGTTAGCTTACTATGCTCAGCGGTCTTCCGCCACACGAGTATATGAACAGTGAGAAAACACATTCTGTACCCAGTTGCGACGTATGTTCCTCTTCGGTAGCTTGATTTTAACTTGGCCAAGCAATCAAGAAGTACAAGTTCCCGTACTCCCCGATGTCCCAGTGAATCCAATAGCTGACCAGCAAAACCAGGAAAACGCAAACAAAGACTCCCTACATCAGTACCAGGAGAACTTGCGGTAATATTCCTGTTTTACTTAATTTGTCGGGTTTTTTCGATACTTGCCGAGTTTCGTTAATGTTCGTGGCAAGATTAGCTGTTTTATCAAGTTTTAGCTCAACTTTCCTTACGTTGGCAGTAAATTTCCCTTGGTTTGTACGTTTTGTAGTTCTAATAGTAATGTTTGCTAGTCAGTTGTTGGTCATAAGCTAGTTATGCTATATTTTGGTTGCCACAGTCACTTCCACTGGCCGTTCGTTTAATATATTTGCCATTTGTGTTTGGTCATGAACTATTTGGCTCAAAGTTATTCATGGGTTTTTGTCAATGCTTGCTTTTTGGTTTTGTTTTATTGTGCACTCCGTGGTTTTACTTCGTTCATACTTTTGTATCGTGCCCTCTTTCGGTTCCTTGGCCATTTTCTGCTGTTCTGGCTTCGTTAAAATCATTCCTGGGCAATGTTTTGGTTGTCAGATATGTTTGGGTGGGCTTAGTTTTATTCATGACTTTTGATTTTGTATTTTACGCATGCAGTATTTTGCTGTGCGTTTGGTGTTATTTCACGTGCACTTTGTTATGCTGGCTTCGTTAATTAAAAAATCTATTCAGAGCCAGTTATTGTTTGTCATGAGATATTTGGCTTTGCTTTATTCATGACTTTTGTGTTTTACGCATGCTATGTTGGTGTGATTTTACGTATCGATACTGAATTTAATTGAAATAAATTATTGTCATACAGAGCAATCTTCGCACCATTAATATGAACTCATTATTATTAGATAATTAGTAAAAATCGTATGCCCATATGATCATATCTGCTATTTAAATGTCTAATAAAATGAAATGTATAGTTTTATTTCATTTTCTTTTGAAAGCACCCATTTATGGTACTTCGTCTTTCAAACCTAATCAAAACTTTGAAGGGATTGATATGGAGTTTCAAAAGACAAATTTCCTTGAAAATTGGCATAGATAATGCTTGATATCGTTTTTATTAACCCTTCTATTTTGGGGCTGATTCTTGATGTTCTTCGWGTCTTTTTAAAATTCAAAATGTACATGGCACTAGAGCTATCTTTCTAATTTTCAACTTCTAAAACCATAGTCTTTCTCCAAAGTATCCGTAGAATAACTCGTAAAACATATTTTGCAATAACTAGAATTTTTATTACATGCTAAATCAAAACAGAAAGTCGTCTTAATAAGAATATTTTGACCCTTTTATCCATCATCTAACCGTCTTGCAAAGTCTGCACCATTTTGAAAATCGAGCTGGAACGTGACGTCATGAATTGAAACGACAGCGATTTGCCTAGAGACGACCCATCTCTCCTGGGATGGGATTGAACGGCTTTGTTTTCCTTATTATTTATTGGTTTTCTACTATTTGAATTAGTTCAAACAAATTATAGTGAATATGTAGCCAGATTTCTCCATRCGCAGGCAGCAGTTCAAATCATATTATTGTAAAGACCGCTGACAGTGTCACCTTCTGGGCATGCGTATAGCGAGGAAAGCAGCGATCCAAGTGTCCAGTAAACGTGTAAACACCACATGCGGGAAACTCCCCAAGCACGAACTTTCGTACGGCYATTTCTGCTTGGYTTTTATATAGTACAGRGCTTACAAAAGCCATCAGCCAGCCAGCCAGTCAATTAATCAATCAATCTTTATTTTAATGGGGCTAATTAAACCAAAAAACATTGGTTAAGTTTATGCAACTGACACAACCAGTTTTAAAATGGTTGAAATATAATTGGTTGTTATGAGCGATTTACTTTGGGTTACAACAACCATAATATTATTGGTTATTATAAACAATTTTACAATACTGCGGATTTTAACAACCAAAAGTATATGGGTCATTATAATCAATATTTTTAAGGCCAAAGCAATGCAACTGAAACAACCATTTTTTAACTCTTGGATACGCGAAGCGTAGAAAGTAGCGTAGTTATTGTGAGGGGTCTAAAATATGCAAATGTGTCACTCGCTCACTCGTTAAGATGTTAGCAGATCGATAATTAAACGTTTAATGATCGTCTTATGTCATCTGCTTGCGAACGTTACACGACACTAACAAGCATGCACATAGTTTTTATTCAGTATAGACTACATTGACTATTTTTATAAGGAAATGAACTGCTGACATTTCATGTGGGATATTTCTAGCACTGTGCACCCACTGTGCATGCGTACACTCGCACATAGTTTTATGTTCGGATTGTTTATATCAAAAGAATCAAGGAAAGATGCAAGTTGAAGTAAAATAATACTATTAACGCCTAAACTAAAATTCCAATGAGTCAAACCTTTTCTTGCTGATGTGTTAAAGTAAACAGAAACGCTTATGTACAACCGTCAACATATTTAGATTTTTTTCAGAAGACTCGTATTTAGAGCCGGATGCACCAAAATGAATCTCTTAATGACGACCATTTTGATATTGACCATTTTTATCAACCAATAACAGTTTGGTTGAAATAACCATTCAATTTTTTATAACCATTTTTTTTGGTTGTTTCAACCAGGCAATTTTTTACAGTGCGGTATTAAGATTGTGAGATTATGTGAGAAGTAATCTCAAGTCGCACAGTCACCGTGCAATACTATAACAATGATAATACAATATTTCCAGAGTCCAAAGGTATTATGACCAATAATTCTTACAATAACAAAAAAAGAGAAAAAAACATGTAAAATAAAGATATACACGAATTCCGATTGGCTCTTGGTCATGTTTATATGAGGTGAAGTCCAGACAGTTGTGACACATGTCTGGCTATACTTCTAGCATCCTGCAGGACACACTGGATTAATTGAGCCGCTGCAAGGTCTTTCATATGTATAGCCATTTGAACATGTGATGTACTGCTTACAGTCAGTTGGGTGTAAATAATCTCCACTAGCTTTGCCTATACAATATTTGCTTGAATCAAATGTTGTCGGTGGTTCAGTGGTGGTCGGTGGTTTAGTGGTTTTCGGTGGTTTAGTGGTGGTCGGTGGCTCAGGGGTGGTCGGTGGTTTAGTGGTGTTCGGTGGTTTAGTGGTGGTCGGTGGCTCAGGGGTGGTCGGGGATTCAGTGGTGGTCGGTGGTTCAGTGGTGGTCGATGGTTCAGTGGTGGTCGGTGGTTCAGAGGTAGTCTGTGGTGTGGTCAGTGGTTCAGAGGTGACCGCTATTCCAGGGGTAATCTGCTGCATTCTATCGGCCGTCAGTATCATTTCCATGTAGATGCTGTTTGATATATTACCTATGTACTGCAATGGCTTTGACCAGCGGGTTTCACCACTCAGCTTACATTTCTTCCCAAGCAAATCRTAAGTAAGGCTTCGGCAYCTCTTGTCTGTAATGCAGTTTACTAGGCAGGTTGGATAATCTTTGGCTTCCATCTGGTGGTAGGAAGCATTCTCTAGACTCCAACCCCATTGAGACCTCTTAATGAGCTGTCCAYCAACAGAAGAGCTATCTGTAAWCAYCCACAAATAAACAAAGAAGAAACCAATACTTGCTTGTAGTATTTGCATCCAAAGTACTCGGCCTGAAACAGGAAAATGTTTGATATTTTATCTAGTTGTGTTATGCTTTTGTTCAGTACTATGAAAATGAGTGTGACGTCACCTTCTCAACAATAAGGCCCCGTCCACACGTATCCGGAAATTTTTGTATCTGCAAATTTTTTTTTAAGGATACGGGTTGCGTCCACACGTGTCCGCAAATTTTTGTATCCGTATCCGCAAATTTTACGAAAACGGTGTGGACGGTGAAAACGATTCGAATACGCTGCGTGTGGACGCAAACATTTTCGTATCCGCAAAAAATAATTTGCGGATACAAAAATTTCCGGATACGTGTGGACGCGGACTAACATCGTTCTTGACGTTTCTCGTTGGTTTGCATTTTGTGATCAAAATATCTGCGAGTTTCATAGTTACTAAGAATTGAAGAAAAGATGCAAAACAATTGATCCTGAAGTCCCGCCCATATAAAAATGCGTTAAAATATAATACTTTCCACTGGAATATCTTTACAGGGCTTATTTACTGTAAATTTTGTGTCTCGTTATGGCTAGTGTTAAGTATTAAAATTTAAAACAAATACACTCAAAATCCTGCGGTGATGTCATAGTCAGTAACAAATTGGAAGTATAAACCTTCATAACTTGAAGACACAACATTCAATAAAAGAAATATTTCACCATTCAACTATTCACTTTATGTAGAATCAATACTGAAAGTATTGTATCAGGGGTAAGGTGTACTTCAATTAAATATCATTTCATTGAAGTTTCACTAAAATTAAATTTCGGATGATTTCAATTAAAATATTTCCTTACATGAAAAATAATTTTTGAGTATATTTGCGACATTTAAGAAGTAAAATTCGAAAATGGCGAATGTTGGCATAAATTGTTCGAATGGAATTCGTGGTATTTCATTGCAATTATCTCTATACAAGTGTGAAGAACTCTTTAATTAATTCCTCAAATATTTTGAAATATTTGAAATTAAGGAATTTAAACACTCCAAGTTTTGAAATTAAGAAGTTTTAGCAGTGAAAATCCTAATTTCAGACACAGAGACTCGGAGTTCGTATGTTTATGAAAATTGCGGTAAGCTAGTTGAGAAAAGTTAGATCCCTAAACTAGCAGTCAAATCCCCCCCAAAAAAACAACTCTAAAATACAATTTTGACAAAATTAGATTAAGAGTGCGATAACACAAATTCCAGGACTCGGTATGGTACTGAAATGTGAATAGAGTTACTTATTGGTTATCCTCCAAACGTCAAAATATTTTTCTCCGGGTTTGACTCTGGTTTTTCCTCCCTCGCTATCTCGGTAGCATTATCGTTAGATTGTAAGTTTTTTAATTAAGGGAAAAAAGCTATGCCTACCTGAGAGAGAGTTCATTTCATGGCTTGATTTTTGACTCGTTTCAAAAGGAACTAGCAGTTTTCCGCTTGTTTGTGGTGTTAGATCATGAACTGAAGCAAGTTGGCAGATGTTGTCTTCACAAAGTTAAAGTGTCAACGTATATAATAAGAGTTATTTGTCAAATCTGATTGGCTGAGAGCAAACGTACGAGAAGRAGATGGGACGTCAAACTTTTTAAGGCAGTGTTATATAATCCGTTACAGCCCCCACCTCGTACCCACCCCCCTCATTCAATCCCATCCTAAAAAAATAACTGTGCAACTTCTCTCAAAAATAAGTTTCTAAAGGAAGTATAATTAATATGACGAGAGGGTGTGCATGAAGATGTTAATGAGTCCCTAAATTTTCTGAAATATATAAAGGGGGGCTTTTCGTTTTGGGAATGGTAAATAAAGGGAGTCCTGGTAATGCCCTATTGTCATATTAAATGAAACTTCCCTAAAATCTTAATAAATAAACACTCGACTGCAATTGGATCCTTTACTAGGACCCTAGTGAAAATCACTTCTTTTGTGATCTGGGCTTCCTCTTTAAAGATTAACGTTATTGAGCAAGGGGTTAGGGCCGGGTGAAAATATTAATCTAAGTAAGAAATAATGCCCTTCACAAAAAAAAAAAAAAAAACTCATACTATTGATATCACTGAGTAGGTATACTATTATTGGATGAATTGTATACTAAATAGCAAGCAAAAAATAAGAGAAAATGTATGGGCTTTGAGAACAGCGTCCCCAAAACACATACATTTTCTCGTCTTATTTTTACGATTTGTTTAACGCCTGTTAATGAGTCAGTATTTGCCCAAACTTTTTCAAACTCGATAAACGTAATAACCTTAGAGTGATCTTTCATGTGATGGGGTTTATTCTTTAAATAGAAGTAATTTCTACACTAGGCCATAGTCTCTTCCTCAATTTTGGAAAGGGCATTAACGTAACGTACTGTATGTTGGCACCTAGCCTTAGAAACTGGTCCCAAAGTGTTCTTCATTAAACTCTTATTATTTTGCCACCTTTCGATCGAAAAGGAAATTGTCACCAAGTGATAAGATTTACGTTTAAAAGTTCAAGCCGCGAAACCGTTGTCCAAACACTTAAGCTTTCTGATAAGATTTCGAAAGAACGCTTATCCATTATTAATGCAGTGTAGAAAGTACAGGAATTAATATGCTCAGCGTGCCTTATTTACTTCTGTTCATCAGGAACCCAGTCGCAATACTTTGTTCATCATAATAGATTATTTTCAAGATTTTTTTTTCTTTTTTTTTTTTTTGTCGGCCACATGTTTTTCGTCTCCGTTGTGCTTAAAAAGCTAAACGTTTTCAAGTTAAGTAAATTAAAACAAAGTAATTATGGTTAGCTTACTATATCGGGCTAGTTTTATTCTCTTTTATTTAACATTAGAATTTTCAAGTTTTCCATTAGAAACAGTTGGAGGCAGACTAAACTAGGGAACAACCTTTAAGGTTTCGTTTGGTGATTGATTTGTCATTATTAAACAAACTATTGAGAAGACAAAACAGTGGAAAAGAATTCACATGTCTTCGTTTTTGAAAAAGGGTTCCGAAAGAACTGCTTTAACTTCAAGAGATGTTTATTATTTCGTGGCAAAATACGAACAGAATTGCTTGAAAGGATCCAAGGAACTAGGTAAGCATTTATACAATGAAAACAATGTTACTTTTCCAGAGTATTCTAAGCTAAATCAGCGTTGTTAAGAGCCAATTAGATAGCGAAGAAAATTTAAGTTTGAATACAATTCCCGGACTCGCTCTGTTAGTCTGTGTGTGTCATGAGATTTGAGTTGAGTTTGTCCAAAAATCAACTTCTATATTCAAATCGACAGAATCGACATAAAACTATATATATACTGAGTTTAATTAGAATGAAATATTCTCATAAAGAGCAATAATAAAATAAATAAATAAATCACTTTTATTTAAGTGTCTAGTCGTTCTGGCATTAATTGGGGACACTTTTCGCTCACACGCACTACCACTACATTAAATGTTCTATGCACACAACGCTCAACTCACATGTTGATTTTTACGGAGGGAGGAAGCAGCGCAGCCTTAATATGAACTCATTATTATCAAATAGTTATTACAGTCGCATGCCAATATTTGATCTGTTATTTAAATGTCTACTATTAAAATTAAGTGTATATTTTTATTTCATTTTCTTTTGAAAGCACCCATTTATCGTATACTTCGTCTCTCAAACCCAATCAAAACTTTGAAGGGATTGATATGGAGTTTCAAAAGACCAATTCCCTTGAAAATTGGCATAGATGATGCTTAATATCGTCTTTATTAACCTTCCTATTTTGGGGCTGATTCTTGATTTTCTTCGTGTCTTTTTACAATTCAAAATGTACACGGCACTAGAGCTATCTTTCTAATTTTCAACTTTTAAAACCATAGTCTTTCTCCAAGGTATCCATAGAATAATTTATTTATTTATTGTATTTATTGTTAAATCAAGACAGAAAGTTGTCGTAATAAAAATATTTTGACCCTTTTATCCGTCACCTATCTGTTTTCAAAGTCGGCTCCATTTTGAAAATCGAGCTGCAACGTGACGTCATAAATTGAAACAGCGATTTGCCTAGAGACGACCCCTCTCTCCTGGGATGAATATTGATTTTCCTAACTTTTATTTCACACGAAATTCAATCTATTTATTTCTCAATTTTTGTCTCAGACCAAAAGATATTACATTGCTATGAGAACGAAAAAATCAACGCCAAATCAGCCAATGATATATCAGAATACTCTGACGATAGTTTTGACGACGAAAGGGACTGTGAACTGCAAAGCGTAATGACGTATCATTCAGATTTTGTGGATGATTCCAGATCACATACAGAAGAGAAGCGAACAAACAAAGGTAAATATTATCAAAATAAATGCAAGAAACTGAACCTAGAATACGAATACCAAAATACTTCGGGAAAGTATAAAAATAGCGAGCTAACAAATACAATAGTCCTCTTTAGTTTGAGAAAAATGGCCGTGAACTATTGATGTTAGTGTTGAAGCAGGAGGGAGGAGACTTGACTAACTTCAAGCATAAGAATTGAAAGTTATAAATATCTTATTGCTTTTTGTTCGTGAATAGGCAGAAGAAAGGAGACTTGACTAACTTCAAGCATAAGAATTGAAAGTTATAAATATTTTATTTCTTTCCGTTCGTGAATAATCACTGAAATCACACAAACATATAAAATAATATTTTATATTTTAAAAGATCTTGATAGTAAACTTCACGAAAACCATGCAGCAGCTTGAACCTATAATGTTATTTATTTATTTTACTTATTTATAGCGTTTTGATTATGTTCACTGGTTTCACAATAATTTATCTTCTATCTATGGGTCTAAAGAATGATCATTATGTCCATAGATTTGCTTGTAAGAGTACAAGAAAACGTCACACAGATCGATAACATAAAAGAAACAGAAACAGGAACAGAGGTCGCTCTTGGTAAGCTGGATTTTAACCAGCACATAAACGACCAATATAAAGTGATTGGTAAAATTCTGCAGCACGATAACTTATCTGAAGAAACAAAAGGCGATTCCTCACAAGTAGAAGAGGTGTTTCAGGGTGAGAAGGAAAACACAGTTTTTAAGTTTAAACAAGAGGGTGAGTTAGTTCTTTAGTAGTGACTGATAAAAGATAGACGTAAAAAGCATAAAAATCCTGGTTTTCAAAATAGGAAACATATTATTATTATTGCAGTGTATATATATATATATATATATTTATTCACTATTTATTGATTTATTCTATATTGTAAGAGCATTGAGATATTATGTAATGCGCTAGAATAAAATTATTATCATTATTATCATTACAGAAACCCAAAAATTATGAATATATCGAGAAATTATGGGATTGGAGTTGATATTAAAGATACGCGCGGGAATTTGGGACCAGATGTTTCGCTTCTCTCAGCTTGAAACGAATTATTACCCCATCAGAAAAAAAATTTGTTCGTAACTCAATATTTCCTAGTTCCCGGTTTTCAACTAGATAAAAAACAGCTTTTACTCAAAAATAAAGTAAATGAAACTTATCCACAGAAAGATTCACCTAATATTTTATAGAATAGTATTTTTCGTTGTTATTGGCGGAACACATTTCGTTTTAACAAGGGATGATAGAAAATCATTGGAAATTTTCGCTGTGACAAACAATGCATTGCGTACCTAGATTTCCAAATCTAATGGCAGGGTTCGTGCTGCATTTTCGTTTCAGTGGCGGATCCAGGGGGGGTTCGAAGGGTTCCACGGAACCCCCCTTGAAGGTTTGATCTTTTAGGTAATAGAAATATGTCTTATATAAATTTTGCTTAAAAGTATCCACAAGGATAATGTTGAACACGAAATGATAAATATTTGCTCTTATAATGTTTAATTTACCTTTAAGTTCCGTTCCTAGATAGTAAATTAGGTGATTAGAGCCAATTTTTTTGTCAGACATCGACTAAACAAAAGAGAATTATACACAGTTTAAGAAACGGAACCCCCCTTTGAAAAATCCTGGATCCGCCACTGCGTTTCAAAATTCAAGGACAATTTTTAAGCACTTTTCAAGCACAAAAATTCGATTTTCAAGGACAAAGCTTTTTTGTATTAGAACGTGGTTTAAACATTGATTAAATGTTACAGTGCAGCTAATTCAGCCGGGGTCACGTCCACCAATAATAAAAACGATCATGACACGCAACCAACCAGCAAACAAGCAACCAGAAACTCTTCAATCAATTTTAATCGTTATTTATTTTAAAAGGAAAGTTAGAAATAGCATAAATTTTGCATTAAATTCAAGGAGTATTCCAGGAGTATGGCTTTTTCCCTTTTTTTCAAGGGCTTTTCAAGTGCCCTTAAAAACGTGTTTTCAATTCAAGGACTTTTCAAGGATTTCAAGGAGTAGCACGAACCCCGTAATGGGATTCGGAAGGAAGTGTACATAAAAGGGTCTGATCGTGTAAAAACTGAGAAAACGAAACGAAACGAAACGGAAGGACTTAGAACAGGAGAAGAGAAGGTGACTGAGTTATAAACGGATCAATCTTTTCAGTAATTTGTAAAGGTGTAAACAATAAACCAATGACTTAATTTCTAGTAAATTTAAAAGAGGAAAATTAATTATTTCCTTCAATGTCATCGGGATAGGGTATTTGCCTAAATTTTTATAATTATTTCGTCCTGATTGCAATTATTACAATTATTTAGAGTGCTACTACAAAAAGTTAAATTGGACACGTCAAGAGCTCAAGAAGCGACATCATCATTACTTTTATCTATAGCTTTCAAAACTAATGCTGCTAAATGAGCTTTGAAAGGCGGCAAAGCCGTGAAAAATGAATACCTTCCAATTTGATTACACCTTTCAAATCGCCAGTTTACACTGATTCTTCTTAAATGGATCTCTGGTTACTAAGGACAAAATTTTGAGACACTTCTGTTCAAGGCTACTGGACGGACGATGTCCCCTTAAGGAAATAAGGAAATGATTTGTCCTTCAGCATGCATGAGCTAGGTCATCCATCCTGTTAACCATGTCTAATGTATTTGAGCATAGCAGATAAGTTAAAGTTGTAACACGATTTAAGCTCACGATGGCCAGAGTTTCACTATCACCTGTCTTGTATTAAGCCTCATTCAATCTCAAAATAGATTCACACCAGCCCATTAAGACGACAGTTCGGTTTCTCTTTCATTCCCTTGTCTATAATATGCATTTGTGCCCAAATAGCTGGCCTTTAGGTAATAACAACCAGATAATTTAGTGCATTCAAAATTTTGGGACGTACAGTGCGAACATTACTGATACTCTCGCTTACAGTAAGTGTTGATTTTTTGGTAAATTCTAACGATTGCTGATTTGTTTTTGTTTTGGAAGGTTTTTCCTTGCGCTGTTCTTTGGGAACATTCCATCCTTATCGTAGAAATTTCGCTTAATGTGCATGGTCTCATTCATAATTCAAGATAATTATATAAACGTCCCTAATGACGGAAATATTCCAGTTTTGCTTCTTTCCTAGCTCCCGGAAGAAGTCGAATTATCCTATCTGCATCATAGAATATTTTGAATATTTTGAATATCTTGAGGTGCCCGAAGACAGCCCAATTTAGATATCTATGATAATACGAGCGAATAGAAAATCATCATAAGATATCTCTATATACGATACTATAGCGGATTATTTTATTCTTTTGCCTTTTGCAGACAAGCGAATAGTTTCAAATGACTTAAGCCAACGAAAGACAAGAATCACATCTTCAAGAAAAGGTAATTATAATCACGACAGAATCGCTGACTCGAAAAATCCGGGTACCAACCAAAGGAATAGCTTCACAGTTCCCTGTGCCATCTTGAAAGGTAACTGTGCCTGTACATTGAACCGAGAACGGTGGTGAATTAACTTGAAGTGATAGAGACATGTGAAAAAAAGGTGTAGGTCTCTACTATTGCAAGGTCAACACGGTTATCGCTTCGATGCAAAGGTACAGTAACCTTTCAAGATGACGCAGAAAACTGTGAAGGGGACTATTGGCTAGTTTTTCCACTTTGTTTTTAGCCAAAGGATTTTGACCGCGAAAGACTCTTGTCCTTCTGACAACCAAAGGAGATCCTAAGAAACGCGAAAAACAGCAAGAAATGGAGAATGCAGTCAAAGAAATATTGAGACGAGGAGAAAACAAGATCAACGAGTTGAGGGTACGGGCTCAAAACCTTCGTTTGGATTCAGAAGAGTTAAGGTAAGATATACTACCGCTACTGCTACTACTACTACTACAGCTACAGCTACAGCATCTGCTCCTGCTCCTGCTCCTGCTCCTGCTCCTGCTCCTTCATTCATTCATTCATTCATTCATTCATTCATTTATCCATTCATTTTGTTTGAGAATTGCTGCAAAAGGATCTATATTCAAACCTGGTTAGACAAGCAAAACAGATATAATATTAACTCGTGTTACATTCATAGGGACGAAAATAGAGCCTTAAAAAAGCTACAAAGATTGCAAGGGAAAGAGGTGGCTGACATGGAAAGATTCGTTCACATGACAACCACAACAGCGAGGGACATCAGAAAGGACGTTAGAGATGCCGAAGAGTCTTCTTTTAGTATTGATACCTCACTTAGGTAAGCGTATTTTATCTCTCAATCTGTCTGTCTTTCTGAGTGCAGTCTGTCTGTCTGTCTGTCTGTCTGTCTGTCTGACTGTCTGTCTGACTGTCTGTCTGTCTGTCTGTCTGTCTGTCTGATTATCTGATGATGATCCTAGCAAGCTTGTGGTGTTCCGCAAGAAATAGTTTTGGGTCCTGTATTTTTGTTTTGTTTGGATTCTCTCACGGCTGCTGTCTGCCTGTCTATCTGTCTGCCTGTCTATCTATCTATCTGCCTGTCTATCTATCTGTCTGCCTGTCTATCTGTCGGTCCATCCGTTCGACTGCTCTCTGTCTGTCTCTCTTTCTGAACATAGGAAGAAAAATAAAGAGATTCGACAACTTCGACGAAAATGTGAGCGATACGAGAAGTTGATAGATATGGACCATAAGATGCCTGGAGTATCCGAACTGGAGGAGAGACTGGATCTGGCAGAGAAATGTCTCCAAGATAAAGATAAAGAAATTGAAGTAAGTAAAAGATGAGCTCTGCGTCAGTGTCAGCGGAATCGATGAATTGATCATAGAGCCATCGAATTTAATCTAATTGGTGCCCACCCCACCCCCTCCACTTGTAGTAGTGTCACGTGAGAGCTATGTGGCCTGGGGCRAAAACGAACAGAAAGAGAGAGCTGTCATCAAAGTCCAAAATACGTGTACACAATGTGCAGGACCTCATTCTTAGACTATGTATGGTACATTACAATCTTTCGCTGAAGCAACTTCGCATTGTAACTGGATCTGTGCCCCCTGAAAATAAATACTTCTCAGTTCTCTCAAAAACAATTACAACATCTTTTTTTACACTATTATAAGACATTGAACGAGAAGGTCAAGATTCAAGAAAAGAAAACAATCCAAGTGAGAAAAAAAGGACAGAGAAAATTTGCCCAGCTCGATGAAGAAGTTGATGGAACATTACAAGAATGCGAAGACCTGAAGCAAAGACTAAAGGTACGGATGATTGTAGCTCTATACACACGGAACCCAATTTAGATAAAAGAACCGACAGAACTAAAATTGGAAAAATTCCCTCCAATTGAAAAAACAAGCAAAAATAAAGTGCGATATTTTTTGTGCGCAATTTGGTAAGACTGCCGGGTAAGGCCCCAAACTTTTCCCAAACAAAATTGTCGTTCGTTTGCGTAGCCATCAACTCCATATTCTTATTTTTCAAGCTTACCTTGTTGAGAAGTGAATGTAGTTTTCTTTTTGGTGGTTTTCCAGGCATTTAAAGCTTTAAAATGTCGAAAATATTAATCAGAACTTTCAGATATCATAGCGAAGAATCATTGTCCACCATCTTGGATTTAGCTTAGAGTCCTGGCCTTTGACAAAGGAAACCCAACGCCTTTAAAATCACAGGGAACCCACGCGAACAATATTAGTTTGATGCTAAGAAAACACGATTTTATACACTCCTGTAGAAATTAAAAATCTCGAATGATAAATGAAGCTTTGGTCGAGTTAGAGTGACCATACACGCCATGATAATGGACGTTCATAGATCGAGAGAAGTTTGTAATTGAACGCCACCAAAGGCTCATAAAAATGAGTGGATGAAGTTATGTGCAAACGAAGAATAATATGATTCTGTTGCCTGGTTACAAAAAAAAAAGTTACTATACTGTTTACAGACGATAGCGACATTTCATATGTCGAATCGTGGACCCAAAAATATTTTCATTCGATTCTTCCTTCCTTCCTTCCTTCCTTCCTTCTTTCCTTCCTTTTTTTTCTTTTGTTTGTTCTTTTTTTTGTTTCCCATCTAGATCTTTTCTAGTCTTTATTTTACTTCCTTGTTTACTTTTTCTATAGATTTTTTTTCATTCAGTTTTTAGGCTCATTTTCTCTCTTCCTTAACTTCACAGGACGCAGAACGTAAGATCAGTATGAACAATATATACAGTCGAAAATCAACAATACATAATGCTTTTCCAGCCCCACCAATGCTACCCGCTCTACCATGGCACCCCCCCGTCTCACGACAAACCACGAGTAGTAAAGTAAAGAAGTGGTTGGACGATTACGATAATAAACACTGAGGGATGGGATGGGAGGGGGAGTGGGGTGGGGTGTGGACTGCATGGTCCTAATTCCAACTAAAGCAATGAAAGAAAGAACGGAAGAAAGAAAGATATAAAGAAAGAATGAACGAAAGAACTAAAGAACGAACGAACGAACGAACGAACGAATAAATAAATGAATGAATGAATGAATGAATAAACGGAAGAAACGAAAGAACAAAAGAATCAATGAATGACCGAACGAATAAACGAAGAATGAATAAACTATCCGATGAACGAATTCATAACCAAACGAATTAAATAAATGATCGAATGAACGAGCGAATGGATGAATAAACGAATTAACAAACGATCGAATTAAAGAAGGAACAAACTGAAACGAATGAATAAACAACTGAATAAAGGAATGAATAAATTAAAGATCGAATTAACACATAAGAATATCTGGTGGTGAATTATCGAATTATGAATCAAATCAAAAATCATCGGGATATATTTTCCGATGATACTAATGGCGGCTGCGTAGGAGACGTGACCAACATAACTATCCGAGTAATGTAAATGAATTGATAACTGGATCAAGTTGATCATATACTAAGAGCACATAACGGGCAAGTAATGGATTATGACTAAACAATTTAAAACAGTCAGATAAATATAATGTAAAGTGGTTGCCAACCAGGAGGGAAATAGTGCTTTGCCGTAGAAAAATGGAGCTGCACATAACTACATGATAATCTATTTTTAGATATTATTTTCAATTCTTTTTCAGACTAGATAATTTATTTACAGAAATTACAGGATTCAGTGAATTTATTTTTCTTTGGTTGGAACATTTGTTTTCCCAACCATCAACATCTTTAGTTAAGTCTCGTTGCTGTACAAGGTTAAGGGCGATACGGTCACGCCCTCCATAAGACGAATGTTATTTGTATCAATGAATATTATCCTTTCTGAGCGAATTGATTTTTCTCTTTTAAATAGTCTTGAGGTCTGAGGTCTTCCTGAACGAGATTCTCTGATATATCTTGGCTCATATAACATGCTTCAGTATTTGCAAGCCTTTTCTCATTTCTTCGCCTTTGCCCAGTAAATATATTCAATGCAGTGACAGTAACAAAATATTCATAACGCCAAGGACGTCACATAGCGTGGTAAAAGGATTTTGAACCTAGATCTTGCTATCACTTCATTTTCACTTGCGCTTGGCTGTAGGTTCTTCGATATACTAAAGACTTTCCCTTACCTTCGGGCCATCGAACTCCAGATCGGCGGGAATTTCGTACTATTCTCAATGGTGGTAGAACATAGATCGGGGTACTTCGAAATTCATTTATGTTGAAATATGGACCCTCATGATCTCGGTGAACTCGCGCTTTGGAATCACGAACAGAGGGAGCACAGCCCATAGCTATAGATATTTCTATCTAAATACTACATATAGACACTATTATATTTCTACTGATCGTCAAGGCATATATGGGAATAAATATTCCTGACGTTCCTATGGTAACGGAATGTTAATATTTTGAAATAAAATAAGCTTACTGAAGTCACAAGCAGAAGGTGCACAGCCCATAGTTATATTTTTTATCTAACTGTATTACATATGGACATATTATATTTTTACTCACAAAGTCATATAAGGGAATAAATATTCCTGAAGTTCCTATGGTAACGGGAGGTTTATATTTTGAAATATAATAAGCTTACTGAAATTTAAATGATATTTACTCCCCTAGTCATAGATGGGAATGATATGCAGAATCGCAAAGAACAATAAGTAACTTTGAACTAGCAAAACTGCGCCGTCTTGTTATAAGGATCAAAGTCTTCGTTTTCAGTTACCCATGGCAATCGCAAACAATAATCGAACAAACCATAATTAAACAAATAATTAATGACTTCATTACAAGTTGATTTGAAACAGTGCGTCCAAATGACGTCACTGCGAATTTGACGTGTGAAGCTGACGATTAGCCAGGGGGAAATAAAAACTTGCCTGCCATTGCAATAGAAATATAAAACTCATTTATCAGCTGGCAGCATAATAAGTGCATCTATTTAATAAGGGAGTTTACTTCAAAACGTGATCAAGGCTTTACTTATTTTCTGTGATGCGTTATCGTGAAAAATGAGAAGCCATCAACAGAGGACCCAGGGTTATGCCATCATGCATTTCGAGTGAGATATATGAAACAATTGGATCTGGTCTAATCTGATTTACATAAGAAAGAATTCAGTTTCCCAGGGAAAAAGACGCTATTCTTGTCTCCTGTTGTGGCCGACATCACGTGATGGTGCAAAGCCTCTATAGAACGTTCGTTGCACTTTGCCAGGAGGGCAACTTGAAAGCCGACAGTAATCAAACGATACACGTGATTATACCATATAATTTTCGTGATAGGCCCTCGCACATATTCGCAATTTTATTTTTGGACCTAAAATATCAATTATTCGATATCCCTCGTTATAACAATGAACAACACAGTTCTATTTTTTTATAAAGAAATTTGTCATAGAATATCAATAATGGTCCTTGTTGAAAATAGTTATCCCGAACATAAAACTGGTCTTGTGAACCTTTATCAAATAATTATTTATACTTTGAAATATTTATTTTATATTTAACAAAAACTCATAGCTGAGCATTAGCTTTTAGGTCATTGTAAGAATTATGTTACAACTTTATACCCAGTCATTTGAAATTCTTTTGGTCAGATATATGACTTCAGGAGCATTTTTGGGGTGAATGCTACGTCATAGCCGCCATGTTGTTACTAGCTTCTCTTGATAGATCAACAGACATGGCGACGTTTTCATTGTTATTTATATCTCAAGGGAATTTAGTCATTTGGTTGCACCCCAAGAATTGGTTTTATAAGGAGCATGTTTGAAAAGGTGTAAGGCCTAGGGCAAACGTCGAACTTTCCATGCACCGAACTTAATTACATCAAAGAATGCCGCCTCATTATCACCTGATATTCATTGTTTTTAATGAGTTCGGTACATGGAAAGTTCGACGTTTGCCCTAGGCCTAAGATTTAAAAATAGACCTTATTCGTGGTGACAACGTTTTCCCAATTCAGCGTGACGAACCTCCAGGGGGTTCATTTTCTTTTGTTTTTACTCCTCGAAAAATTCATGAGTATCCCAAAGCATACGAAAGGAATAACGATGATATCCCGACGAGTTTCGAAACAATAGCTCTTCATTCCCCCAGAGGTTTGTCACGCTGATTTGGGAAAACATTGTCATACCACGAATAAGGTCTATTGGACTAGCTTTGTTGTGCCTTCTCCTCAAGCCCATCTATGATCTACTTTGAGCTTGCTTCGAACACCAAGGAATAACCCCTTTTGCAGTTCCCTGCACCATCTTGAAAGGTAACCGTACCTGTGCATCTAAGCGAAAATGGCAAGGACCTTGCAATGATAGAGACATCATAGCAAGGTCACCGCCGTTCCCTCTTCGATGCACGGGCAAGACTGCTTTACGAGATGGCACAGGGAACTGTTTCGGGGACTCCAATATGTGAGCAATCTTATTAGATGGGAAAGACCACAGGTAGCCCAAGCAACCATTATACATCTTGACTTTAAAGATACGCGACCAGCAAGAGGTGTAATGACATCCATTAAGAATAATAGGATAAGAATACTAATTGATGATAATATAATGCTATGAATTGCTGCACCCAGGTTCTGGGGGATTTTCTTTAGCATTCTTTCTAAGACTCTCTAGATATTCCTTTTGAGATTCAGCCAGCACCGCAGCTAGAATTCTTTCTTCATTCCATTGATTAAAATCTGAAAGACATACACATTTTGTTAAGTAAATCAAATAAACTGCAAGACTTAATAGTGACCGTGACCGAGCATTTTGATTGGATAAGCAAAGCTCTCATGTGCTGTGATTGGTTGAAATGTTATGTGATTGGTTAAAATGTCAATTTCGCAACATGAAGGTGTGTCTAGTACAATTTAGACTGCTTTACCTTGGGCGTAATGTTTTCCAATTCAAACCCAATGCAATACTCCTTTTTACAGTTCCATTCAGTGTCCACGAATAATAGTTCCTAGCCGAGGCTGGAGTTTCCGCACATAGCAAAACTACAGTTTGTCATGCGTTGGAACTCCAGCCTCAGCTAGGAACTATTATTCGTGGTCACTGAATCGAATTGTAAAAAGGAGTATTCTCTTGAAAATACTGATTATTTGTTGGAGCTGTATCCATAGACATGTATTTTCTCATACACAACTGATAAACAAAGAAATGATACTTAAGGGAATCGACCTTTACTGAGATAGAGAACATGGTGCATTGTGGTCTAGCTTCTGTACAAACATTGTTTGATCACCATGCCTTATATGGTGTTGTTTGAACCAAATCTAGACCACAATGCAATCTGTTAATTGAGCTCAGGAAGGGCCTATGGCACATGGTCTGAAATGGGACAACATTATAACCAAGATATGAGAGGCCTATTTCACAGTCGTACTTGATGTCCACCCTGGATCAAAGAAACATGAGAGGCACTTACCATACATTGACTCTGTCTGACAAGCAGCACCTTGGGACTGTTCAGGTGATGGTGGATTAGAAACAGCGGTTGAACAACTAGGGCGAGGTTCAAATTGAGAAGTCTTTGTACAGGTAACGGTAGAGCTACTAGAAGATGAAGGACATGTCTGTGGATTGCAGTCAGAAAGGCTCGGTCCCATGAAGCATGGCTCATGTCGAGGGGAGCTGGGTGATGAGTTAGGGGAGTGACGAGGAGACTTGGTAGGAGGTGCGCTGTCTATGTCTCGCTCCCAGTCCCTGTGGTGTGGGGAGTTGGGTCTTTTAGATTCAGTAGATGTGGATGTGCTACTGCTTGAAGATGGGCTTGAATAAGTCTGTTTAAAATAGTTTAAAAAGTTATTAGTTTGAGGGGTGAGGAGAGATGAGGATAGTTAGATAGAGGAAAGGAGAGTAGGATAGAGTAGAGGAGAAGACAGTAGAGTAGAATAGGGTAAGGTAGGTTACGGTAGGTAGGGTAGAATAGAGTAGAGGAGAAGAGAGTAGAGTAGAATAGGGTAGGGTAGGTTAGAATAGAGTAGAGGAGAAGAGAGTAGAGTAGAATAGAGTAAGGTAGGTTACGGTAGGTAGGGTAGAATAGAGTAGAGGAGAAGAGAGTAGAGTAGAATAGGGTAGGGTAGGCTAGAACAGAGTAAAGGAGAAGAGAGTAGAGTAGAATAGGGTAAGGTAGGTTACGGTAGGTAGGGTAGAATAGAGTAGAGGAGAAGAGAGTAGAGTAGAATAGGGTAGGGTAGGCTAGAATAGAGTAGAGGAGAAGAGAGTAGAGTAGAATAGGGTAAGGTAGGTTACGGTGGGTAGGTTAGAATAGGGTAGAATAGACCCCTTGCACTGAGTCCCTTGAGGAATTGTACTGGGGGACAAAAACAATGGATTTTTTTGCAGAAAAGACACCCTATTGTTTTGTCCCCCAGTACAATTCCTCTAGGAATTCAATGCAAGGGGTATATAGGGTAGGGTAGGTTAGTTTGGGTTAGTTTAGGTTAGGGTACAGTAGGTACGAATAGGGTAGGTTAGAGTAGGGTAGGTTAGGGTAGGGTTGGCTATGTTAGGGTAGGTGGGGGGGGAGTAAGTTAGAATAAGGTAGGTAGGGTGTAGGCAAGGAAGGGAAAGGAGAGGAGGCATGTTATGTGGTTGCACTCACAGCTGCACGGGCTCCTCTGGCTCTCCGTTCACTGTCCTGTAGCCAATTTAAGTAAGATTCTCTAGCTACAGCTTCTTCCATGGCTTCATTGGTTGCTTCCCAGTCAGTGGCACGAAGTTTATCTTCAAGCATTTGCTACCAAAAAACATCAACTTCTTAAAAATGTAATGTGATGTAGAATATGCTTGTACTTTTTGTACCTGGAGCTGCAAGTCTAGAGTGATCTCTAATCTAATTCTTTTCATAATCATTAAAAAAATTCCTTGTTTTACGAGGGCAGCAATTGATTTCCAACGGGTAACAAACCTGATATAGCAGAGGGACGAAAACTGGAAAAACCGGGAGAAAAAACCTTTGAAGCACAGGACAAAACCAACAAGAAACTTTATCCATATGATACAGAGTGTAAAAATCCTAACAAAATGAGATATCTATTTATGTCTATTCTTATCTCACCTGCTCAATATGCCATTCCTCTGACTGACGCATAGCATCATTTACCAACACATTCTAAATGGTAAAAAAAGTTACAAGTTAAAATCCTGTAATCAATAATTATTACCATGTTGCAGGAACTCCATTAACAGTTACTATAAATAATATGGATAAAGACTTATGGATTATCTATTTATTTATTTTCATCAAATTTATAAATATAAGGAAAATATTCTCCATATTCACTGAGCGAATAATTGAGGCGAATAATTGTTTTAGCATATACCAACTTGTGTACAGAGTAACTCATTTCTATATACAATTCAATAAAAACAAACAAACTTTTAGCAAAACTTTTAGGCCATACTTTGTTGCCTTTTTAGTATTGATAGGAATGGAATTTACTTTGCAAAACGATTGCCGGCAGATGCCATTTTGTTGCTGACTCAATATTCCGAGATTCAGAGGTGAATATCGTACAATATTCACCTCCAATTAACCAATGAGCGCGCTCGTTCTTAGGAAGATGATGATGATGATGATGATGACGATGACTATAAAATACTGTACTACGCTTACCCAAGGCTTATATCCTGATAAACCAAGTCCTACACCAACTGAGGGCTTGTTTGGGTTGATAACAGAGTTATAATGGACATTACTGTGATAGCTTAACCTGATTGGTTCATTGTCAGTCTTTTGTGTGCTATGGAATATGTTGATTGGTTCTGAAATAAAGAAGAAAAAAATAGTCGGAATACTTGGGTGTGATTGGCTGTTTTTTATGAGATACTGGTCGACCAGAATCAACTATTCTCATGGTTTATAGGTACGTAACTAAAGATTGAAGGCTGGATCACACTAGCGACAGAGAGCTTTTGATCTACTGTGAATCATTGGTCTGAGTTGGAATGAACTGTAAGCCAAAGGGTGATGGAATCGAAATCGTGAGGCTCAGAAGTTTTCTTTTTCTTTCGATATTGATCCAGATTATGACAATTATGTTCGAGTGTGAACAAAAGAATTGGAATCAGAATTGAAAGCTTTGACTAATGACACTATCTCATCCCAAAACATAGTGGCCTCCTTGGTCAATATGGAAACAACAAAGAAGCGTGCTAAAGCGAGGCTTACAATTCTGTTTGCTTTGTTTACACTAGGACATAAGCTTCTTGTGCTTCTGTTGCGCTCCTGATTCCAATGCTTACGATGCTAGTATGAACCAGCCTTAAAGATAAACGAAAGTTTTTACTTAGTGAACTTTGGCACTCTCCTAGCAAGTGAACAACAAATTCCTTGTCATTTGATATTGAATATTACCAAGTCTGGTTGCGGTAACTCCACTGGTGTACGGTCAGAGTAAACATTTCTTACCTATACTATTCTGGTACACTTCTATAGTGCGATTATACATCTCACTAAGAGCTTGCATTTCTACATGGTTGCCATGGCAATGGTTTTCCCGTTTTCTTCTTATATAGCTACGAAAATCCTCAGTAACATACTGAGAGAAATAATCCATGTTCTTGAGCTGAAAATAAGAGAGGGAGCAGTGAGTTTTATGCTTTTTGTACTACTCAATATGCCGCAGTTGTGATACATGGAGAACTACTTTGCATTTTGGACCAAATTTCACCTCAAAGATATTTGATTTCCTACAGGCGAACATTCTTATTGTTTTGCCAGACAATATGGCTGTCGTGAAACCATATGTTGTTTTAAAATGTCTAGTATATTTTTAGTTTACATCATGAAACAGAACTTCACATTTTAACATCTATTTGTTTATATGTAATTTAAACCATTGAATTCTGAGTTACTAGTTACTGGGATTCTCAATATTCTGTGAATATATTTTTTTGATTGATGGCAGCAAAAAAAAAAAGAAAAAAAATCAGAGAGTGCTACTTAAAATCGAGTTCACAGAATATTGGAAACCGTAGTAAAGAACATGTTTGAGTTGTACTCATATGCATGTGTCTTCTACTGTATGACCATTAACAAAAACATTTTAATCTAGGAAATGACATGTGCTTCAATGGCAAAACATTACGCCCTAGGCAGAGGTCTATTAGGCGACTAAAGCTGATGATCTTTGTAAATGACATATTGAGCAAGATCTGCTACTTAGTTTGGTTTTACTATGCTTACCATGTAGTCCATGCAATGCTTTCTAACAACAGTATGCATTTCCTGGTCACCGTACACTTGATCAGCTGTAACATAACAACAAAATTAATGTTAGTAGATTTTTCCTGCTAGCATAATAATTTTTAAAGATGCGAATGTTTCATCAAGCAAATTTTTCTTGGAAAAAGAATCTGAGCTCTAGGCAGGATTCCAAGTTTTCATTTGCTTCCAGAACCTTCTGTTTGCTAGTCAGATGCTCTAACCAACTAACTGACCTATTGGAACTCATGTTGGTGAGCGAGGTCTTGATGATATTCAAAAAGTAATGAATTAATTGATTTTAAAATTAACATTGTGAGAAGATATTATGAGATTCTTTATATTATCATAATATTTGTAATTCCTCGATGGTTCCTTTGAAACCAAGAGTGGAGTGTGTGAGGAAAGACTCAATTGTTTGGTTTTTGCTTCCTATTCCTATCTTTTGGCCATAAAAAAACTGTCTTTAGTTAACATTTGACCCAAAATGTGACCCAACAAATATTTGACCAAACATTTAGTCAACACTTTTAGCCAAAAAAGGGGATAAGTTGAGCAGCAATTATATTTCAAGTGGAGACACCTTGGATCCCAGCAAACAGCTACCACGGGGTGGACTGCTGGTCAGCATTGTCTCCGTTTTAAACTTGCCTAAATTATGCTTGGCCTCATTTATTTTGAACCAACCATGACAAATGGCCAAAACAATTGACCCAACATTTATGCAAAATTCCATGTACCGTTTTTGAATCAACCACAACATATTGTCAAAACATTATTTTGAACCAACATTTAACCAACATTTCAGCCAAAATTCTGAGCCAATATTTTGAACCAACTAGGATCAATGGTCCCAACAAATGTTGGGCCATTTATCATGGTCTTTAACTTTACATCTGGGAGATTTTTAGTGGTATCTGAGATACAAAGTCTAGGAACAGATTCCATTGATAAAAAGGGTGACTTCTTTTGTATTTTCCTGTCAAGATGATTTTGAAAGGGTTTAAGAAAGCCGTCTAAGCTAGTAGCGCAATTATAATAACAAAGGAATCTAACCTGAGGGAACAATATCTCACCAATATGTAATTAACCAATATGGGAATGGTTTTGCCTTTGTAAGGATAACAAAACCACCTCACGTTTTAATAAGCTTCCAATGTTAAAAATATAAATAGAACCAAAGAAATTAAATAATGAATTAAAGCTATAAGTATTGTGTAATATTTTTACCCTAGTCTTTGTTGTACTAAGGAGTGTAGAAATAGCTGAGAATAGATTGTGGTTTGAAGGAAACAAACTATTTTATATTTTTTCACTTGATATTTATAGTTCTATGGATTTTACATTGCTAAAAGTCATATTTAGAAGTAGGAAAGAAAGAAATATTTTCTGCCATATTGATAAAGGAATTTTATTATTTTTTAAATCGTGATCACTGTGGCTTTAATGTAAAATTGGAAGCCTATTTGAAAGGGTTAAAAATCGTAAAAGATCCTGATATAAGGAAGTAATTATCTTAAAAAGGTGTCTGGGAAAGATGTAAACCTATTGTTTCCTTTTGACTCAATAAGAGTGTTTTAAAAAGGCAAAACAAAGCAGTAGGGAAGTCGAATTTAAGCTTACCAACAGCTCTGAATAGACATGCTCCATCTTCGGCCATTCTCTTGATAATCAATCCCTTTTTTTCCTTCAAAGCTTGTTCAAACTGTCTTTCCATCTGTATTTTAGTATTAAGAAACAGAGAGGATAGTAAATATTCTTTCTTTCAAGGCTTTTTCAAGCCAAAACAAAGCCAAATATAAGCCAAGTGAATGCAAACCTCCTCGGTGACGACTTCCAAATTCTGCCCATCGTGTTCATCAGAACTGTTATATCCAGCTTCATCGCTGTGTCTCTCATGATATTTATGGCGATGAGGAGATCCTCTATGCCTTCTTTTTGTACTACAAGCAGCATCAGCAGCTTCCCTAGACTCAAAACTTTCGCCAACATAATCGTCAGAAGACCTATTCAAGGAGCTCCTCTCTGAGGGCGAGGGACGGTTTGGAGCGCCTCGTATTCTCCCTCTGCCATCACTAGTTGAACTAGAATCTGGTTTCTTACTTTCTGAATGCTTCTTCTTGGGTAAAATAGTCATATCTAGTTAAAAGTTGAAGTAAAAAGGAAAGAAAAACCCTAGAATTATCGGTGCCACAACATTGTCTACTAAATGATATCCTTACACCGTGACGTCATTTATTGCTTATGCGCATTCGATGTTGCGCAGTGCTTTTTGTGGTTTTCGTGACCATTCGGGCGAGCTACGATCGCTTCCGATCTTAAACCGAATTGTTATCGGTTCACCGCATAAGTGTTCGTAAAAAGTTCGGAACATATATATAGTGAATGATCAATGGCTAAAATTCCCACAGGGAAAAAGTCCCAGAAGTAAAAGCCTTCAAGAAATTAAAGATTGATTCGCATTTTAGTATCTTTAAGTTGAAAATAAATAAAAATACAGATTAATGAAGTAAAGAAAGTAAGAGAAAGGAAGAGAAGGGAATTAACAGAAACTGGGTTGAAACAATGCAACGAATAAACAAACAAACGAGGAAAAAA